TACTTTTTCACATTGGCGTTAACTCTAAAATTCTGGTAACATACTTTTTCAAACTGATCAGTCAACAATTCCAAAACCCAGATAACACTTATTCAAAAATATCAGTCAATTGTCACTCACAAAATAAAATGCTAGTTTGGTTAAAAAAAAAAAAAGTTTTATATACAGACATGATTGCTAATGAATGGAGACCCTCTCAGGTGATACATTCCAACATCCACATAATATGTAATATATAATGCAATTCTGTTATCATAATGGTCCCCAAGACTATTGTGTTCCTTACCAAACCGATATATATATGTATATATATCTCACTCTATGTATTTGGTATTCACTTATTAAAATATGCTACAATGAGATTTCTTGATTTAATTTCTCACTAAACGTACCATAACAAATTTTAGGAAGAAGTATACCATCATGTAACTCCCAGTGACCCCAATGATTTAAAAACTATCTTGTAGAAGCCATGTGCTAGTTCATCTCAAAACACAGAAAAGACACAGCATTCTGCCAAATGCTCAGTCCAAAAAGTGGAAAAACCATGATTGACTTTAGAGGATTTTTTTTTACCTCAGTAAACAGTGTAGAAAATGGCCCATTGGTTGAAAGTATTTTAAGCCTAAAGGAAAAAGTAACTAATGGAGAAAGGCCTAGGTGCAACAGATCCCATCAGTACGCAATTACAAAGATTTCTATTTTATAGTTCATATCCCTTCTGCTGTGTAAGTATTTTTCTCTTGTCTTAACATAACTTGCTCTGATCTGGTGATCAGCAGTCTCTTTCTGTCCACCTCTCTGTTCACTCTTATTTCAGTTCCTAATTTTTTATTCCTCTTTACTGTATCAGTAAAGAAAGTAATCTCATGAAAACATGTTTATGGGGCACACATAAGAATGAATTGTACTAAAAATCCACGTAAATAATTTATGTTAAAATATTTAAGTTAAAAAGAACAGTTTCTATAAAAATGTCATTCCTATGGAAAAACAATTGGAAATCAACAATGTTTTTACATATATACATATATGCATAAATTCACAGAAAGGGTTTTAAAAGTGTATCTAGTGGTCTTTATATATCATACTCATTTTCTAAATCTGAAGAATCTATAGTAGATAGTAATATGAAAATAAAAAGCAATTTGATTCTACTAAAATTGGATGAGAATGAAGAAGTAACACGATCCACTATTGGTGTCAATACAGTTCTAGAGAATAAGAACTGGTTAGCCACAGTTTTTATATTAATACATTCTTGAAGAATACAAAATTGAAGAATGAAAACATTAAGACATTCTTGCCTTTTGAATTAATTTTAGCTTATAAATACCATGTGCTTAATCTTAGACCCGCTAACACGAACATCGTATGATGTAGGAAATTTAATTAATCTTTTATTCTGCATTATAGCAAGGATACCTGCAAAAAATAAGACCTTTGTTCCTTAGAAGCTTATTTGCTCCTGTTGGTGCCTTTTCCTCTGGATATATCTAGTCCAGAAAGATCATTATTAGAGTCATCGCAGACAATATTCTCAAAATAAGAACTTAAGGCTTTAAATATAATCAGAAATGGGATCTAAAATTTGAAAGAAAAAAAACACCTACCTTGTTTCCACAAAGTAGACAAGAAAAAGTAAAACAGAACTGTGAACTCACAGAAGTTTTTAGAAGGCATCAATGAATCTTTAACAACCCTGCAGTACAATGAAGTTTGTAGTTTATATACTTATGACTACGACAAGTACTCTTTTAAAAAATCCAAATGTGTATTTATATATGGGGACAGGGCACATTTAAAAGGTTAGTTCTTATAAAAAGTTTAGTGATTTTTTAGGTTGGAGTATTTGTTTTTTAATTGGGGTAGGTCACCCAATGAAGGTAAGTACACCAACCTGTATGTGGTATTAAACTTCATGGAAAATGAAATGTAGCTTGATAAAGTAGTGCAGATGTGCTTAAATCTCTCACCCTCCATACCCTTTGCTAAAGGAAAAATGCTTTCGACGGTTATTTGAATCCAAGGAATAATGCGCCCCCTTCCCTTCCCTATACTCAGCAATTTGAGTTATAGTATCATTTCTAAAAGTAATTCTCTATATCCTTGTGGCGAGGGGCATTCATATTAAAATTTCAGTATAAAAACATACCCTGAAGAATTTTATTGCTTGCATACATGATGGCATTGTAGATGCCATTATTACAAAAGTGGCTGGTGGCATTTTTCATTATTGAGTCCCATTTAAAACCTGGAGCTAAGTCTGCACTACATTTCATACTTAATATACCAAATGGTAGACTTTCAGTAAAAGCAAAATTTAAGTTTAAAAAACCGGAATGTTTTGTAATGAATAGCAGTTTTTATCAAAGAAATATTTTTTAAGTTTGGAGAAAGGGCACTTTAAAGAGGACTTGGAAAGCACCAAATTAGGGAAAATGAAGAATAAAGCCTATATGGAATGTTGGTTCTAAGAGGAAAGCAATCACAATTGGTTTTTTTTATGTGCAATTTGTCGTGACTGCTCAGGTGTCTCGGAAACCAAGACATGCGACGGTTCTTGAAACCAATCACACTTTGACGTCTTTTGGTTTAGCTGGATGTTTACTAAATGCCTGCCTAAGAGTATTCCCTTGCCTTTCTCCAAGTAAAAGCATTAGTGATTCTTTATGAGAAACACAGGTAAGGTTGCCTCAATGCTTCTCTTTGTGCTTGAATAAAGAACACGGGGTGGACCATGAAAGATGGTAACTGGATAACCAGAAATTCTCTTCTAGTACTATTATTTCTAATTTTTTTGAAAAATTGAAGAGCCTGACAATATTCTTTTTACGTATTCTTTTGATAATCTGAATTAAATAACATTGATATTTATTGAGCCAAAACTTGAGTGTATCCATGTTACTCCCATTGCAGGAGAACAATTTATGATCGGCAGAGTGAAGTCTTCTCACGGTTCAAATAGTTTTCAAAAATAAGCTGGCCCATAAATCTTCTAAACTGGCCCTTACGTTTCCATTGCTCTATTCACAATTTACAAAAGTCATGTTCTCCTGATAATCATTCCACGTTTTTATTGCTTCTCTTTTTTGGAGATTAAGAATGCTAATGTATCATCTACAGCTATCGTGTAACTGTCTCAAAAGCCACCCTGAATACATATGTTGTACAGACACACACACCACCCCCCACATGGTTGGCAACTGGAAAAGAGAAGTAATCTAACATTTCTTTCAGTCTGTCCCTGATTTGATAGGGCCTAAGAAGCTACGCCTTTATCTCTTTCTGATTCCAAATATTTGGTTTAATATTAATGATCATGGGGGCACCTGGGTGGCTCAGTCGTTAAGCACCTGCCTTTGGCTCAGGTCATGATCCCAGAGTCCTGGGATCGAGCCCCGCATCGGGCTCTCTGCTCAGCGGGAAGCCTGCTTCTCCCTCTCCCACGCCCCCTGCTTGTGTTCCCTCTCTCGTCGTGTCTCCGTCAAATAAAGAAATAAAATCTTAAAAAAAAAAAAAAAAAGATCATGGCTGGCATTCCTTTATATTATAGAGGAAGGCAATCTAATTGTGTCAGCCATAATTAGTTTACCTTCTCCTTTGGAGTGGGGAGAAAAAGGAGAGTCTTGAAATATTTCTTAAAACGACAGGCCTGAATAAATGTGTGGGCTGTCTCAAATTCTGAGTGAATCCATTCTACACTTAAGGTATAATTATATTCTCAAAGGCCAAGATAGTAGGGTCGTTCTTGGGGATTTCTAGATTTCTAGCAGACTTAGGCATTTAAAAGTGATGATGTTTGGGGCATAACAGGGTAAATGGGGAAAAAAACTAGTTTGAGAAAAAGAGTAAGTTAAATAGCCAACTTAATGTGAGATTTTAATCACAACCACAATATAATGAAGAGCAGCCTTTGTGACAAGAAATCATGTTTTGACTATTAAAAATTCCCCAGACGACAGGGGGAAAAATGCTCAGACTCTCTTCAAACATCTTGTACCTCCCAAACCTGCCATTAAAATATTGCTTTCATTATTGTTTTCCCCTCCTCTTCTTCACTGAGGTGGTTTAAAGAGTTGAACATAAACTTCCTCTAATATCTATGTATCTGCCCCTCAAACACAGGTTATCACATATGAATTTCATTTCCCCTCTGACAAAGGAATAGGCCCACAGTTATCTTAAGTGTTAATTATATATAGTCCTCATTTAACCATGCTGAACGGTCTTATGGAAAAGAAAAACATCACAATAAATGTAGTTTCCATATGTCCCAGTTCTGTATAAAGTCAGGTATCTTGTACAGTTTAGGTTTCTGTGAACATTTTTGCACATGCTGATGTTAACTGCTGCAACAATTGCAGGATTGTGAAAGGTAAAATAACCTGTGTGACTTCGACCATCCTAGTGGCCAAAGTGTATTATTATCTCAAAATAATCAAGACTGAAGCATTAATTAAACCCTCATTATAAATTTAAATAGGTATTATTAGCACCTTCAAAGAGAGGCACTGTTTTAAATAGGCACAGAACAAAAAAATAGTACTTTAAAAATACTGTTGGAACTAATATATCCCATGCCACATAAATTACTGCTTTTTCTTATTATAAAAATATCAATACCCTTAGATGTCAATCAGTTAAACATAAATCACCAAAAACATTTCTGAAGTTTAGAACATTGTTCAATTCCAAGATAAAACATGCTTTATATTTAAAAAATAAATTAGAGACAAATATGAACCTAAAGCTGAAGAGAAAAGCATGTATAATATAATTATATTCATATTTAATACTTTATACACATAGTTGCTATATTCTTGAGATATTTTCTTCTTAGGAATATTTCTACAAAAACAAGTATTATCTTTTCTTAATAAGTTGAAAGTTTGAACACCAACAACTTGTCCTGTTTTAAAAGAACATACATTATTTATGTAGCTTGAGCTTTATAAACTAAATTAAATAAGTTAATACAATAGCCTAAACTGTCCCTGTTTTTTTTTTTTTTTTTTTTTTTTTACCATGGATCTATTTTGGCAACATGGAGGTATATCTTTCAAACTGTTACAAGTCCTACCTGTGAGGGAGAAGACATGGAAGGACCTTAGATGGAAGTGGCCTATTCTAACCTGATAGTGATAGAATCCACTGATACCATTTTGTTCAAGACAAAAGTACATATGCAAGGAATAGCTCATTAAAAGATGCTCCATTTTCACATTATTTCAAACTTTTATCGGTAGAATGGCTCTGCACATCAGTTTCACTAAGAGTACAGAAACGTAGGAAAATAGTCCCCCAAAAGATGCATTTATGAGCCTATATTTATCAACATAAAGTGCTAAGAGATGAATAAGGAGGGCTGGGAATGTCTTGAGCTGTAAATCTTGAGACCTCCACATCATGGATAGTCCTGGAGTTCAGCATTCTGATTTTTTCTTAGGTTCAGCATGATCATCCAAGGTGGTTGGAAGCTTGTTGGGACCGTCTGGTGTCTCACCTGTGACAGCTAAAAAGATGATTTTCAGCCACTTCTGTTTCAGTTCCTCACTGTCTGCAGCAAAGCTGTGCACAGACTTGGACTGGGTCAGTTTGAAACTGTGGGGCAGGTCTGCACTCTTTGGCAGATCGTCCACAACATAGCCGAGGAGTGGAATGGTGGCCTGGGCTCGGACATCCTAAGGAAAAAACATGGTACACAGGAACGTAAGATGTATTAGCTTGCTATCTGTGGCCCTTTGTGATCTGGCTCCCACTAAACCTCTTTCTGTACCACTGTTCCACACAGACTCGTGCTGTTAGCTCTCCGTGGACGGAGCCTGTGATCCAGTCCTTAGCATACTGCCCAGACGTGAGGTCACTGAAAATGTAGGCTGAATGAATGAGAGCAGACACCTAAATCAGCTAGGATTCACTGACCCTACACCCCACGCCCTCTCTGTGAGGGAGTCCATTCAGCTCTTTGTTCAGATGAAAAGGGGAAAGAATAATAGTTATCTTACTGTATAAAACCAGTAAATGTTAATGATGATTTGATTACCAAACACAGTTTTATTTGGTGATCCATTCATTCGTGCATCAATGTATGGACATGAAAAGGGTATAGGAAAAACAATGAAATAGAAGACAATATATACCTTGGTATTTTAAGTTTATTTTTTATTTTTTTAAAAGATTTTATTTATTTATTTGACAGACAGAGAGAGCATGACAGAGCACGCACATGCACAGCAGGGGCAGAGGGAGAGGGAGAAGCATGCTCCCCACTGAGGAGGGAGCCTGACATGGGGCTAGATCCCAGGACCCTGGGATCATGACCTGAGCCAAAGGTAGATGCTTAACTGACTGAGCCAGCCAGGCACCCCTTAAGTTTATTTCTAAAATAAAATTTTACCTGCCCTTAATGTAGATATAGGCTAAAATACAACAGGTACATTTAAGATTTTATCTATTTCCAGGTGAACGCAGGTGTTTTTCAAGCACAACACAACCCACTGTGCCTGGTGCTGGCTAGAAGCTAAACCTGCATGTCTGTTGCTCCCATAGATTTAGTTCAGATCCATGCATACATGGTTCTCAAAAACTTGTTACTGGACAATGAAAATCTGAGGTTGACTTAAATTCCTTCCTCTCAAATTCCTTTTTTTTTCAGGTATCCATCCATTCAGGAAAAAAAAACCCAAACCTATAATAATTATTTCCCTTCATCAAACAGGCTCCTTCTCTTCCTTGCATCTCCCTCTGCTTCACCACCGCTTCCCATGCCCCTTCCTAATCCAACTCATCCTTTCTCAAATCACTGAATAGGAATGAGAGGAGGGGAGAAGGCACATGATGCACAGGATGAAGAAACTATGGGCTATATCTAAAAAAAAAAAAAACAGTTAAAAAAATAAAAATCAGTTTAAATAAACTTGAATTTTAGTTACTAATTATTTTTCAATTGTAATGAAAGACAATGCAACTGTCTGAGCTCTCTCGTTCTGTTGAGGAGAAATGGAAGGATTTTGAGTTCAGTGTCTATTCGCCTCCCCCTGCCCCAGGACCTCCATCTCTTCAGAAAGATACAGTTTAGATACCTGGGGGGCACCGTACATGTACAGCACAAGAGGGTCTTGTTTGGGGATCACACACCAAGCTTTCTGCCAAGGTTTTGACTTTTCCATATACTGAAGAAAGCTGCACACTACGCTGTTTCCAGATACTTCTGCTGATTCAATCTAGAAAAATATAATGGAAAGAGAGTGAGCGAGAGAAAACACAAAATGAACCAGGTAGAGAAGTAATTCACCTTAAGGAAATATTCATAAAGTACAATATATTCACATAAAATGTCTCCTGGGAATGTCCAAAAAGGGTTCATTGGCAATGATTATTTAAATACTCATCCCTGGGGCGCCTGGGTGGCTCAGTCGTTAAGCGTCTGCCTTCGGCTCAGGTCATGATCCCAGGGTTCTGGGATCGAGCCCCGCATCGGGCTCTCCGCTCTGCGGGAAGCCTGCTTCTCCCTCTCCCACTCCCCCTGCTTGTGTTCCCTCTCTCGCTGTGTCTCTCTCTGTCAAATAAATAAATAAAATCT